TTTCAATTATTTTTGAACATTCTTAGTAAAAAAGTTTGCTCAAAAAGACCCAAAAATTACCAAATTGTATCGAAAATTATGCTACTTTTGACATTTCTGAAAGTAAAAACAGGTTGTTGAGCTAAAAACTTCTTTTTTTTTTGCAAAATTTTGCTAAAATAAGCCACAAAATCACTAAATTAGATTCAAATTACCGTTTTATTTTGATCTGTTTCTCTGGATTTAGTTTGGTGTCCTAAAAATCGATTTTTTTTTCGAAAAATTTGATTCACAAAAAAAAGAAACAGTTTTTGAGTTAAAAGCTGTTTTTTTTTGAAAGATTTTTCAAAAAAGTTTGCCAATATTCAATTTCAAATTTTATATCATCCTAAAGGGCAAGGCTATCCCTTTAGACTGGTCTTTATTTGAAGGAAATCGGCCTAATAGTTATTGAGTAATGATTTTTTAAAGTTAAACTATTTTAATATCATTTAAATAAGAAAAATAATAATTAGTTCCAAGTGTGTGGACTTTTTGAAATTTTTTTTAGTGCATTTGATTTGTCTCACTGAGACGAACAAAATGATATAAAATTTGTCAAGTTGTCACGACATGACTTTTTTTTGTCGCCTTGTGTTATTTGATTTAAATCAAATTTCAGGTCAATTACCATTCCGTTTTTTGTGCAAATAGTACCAAGAGACTCATTGACTTGACCCGGTCCTCTCTATGCCCCGATTTGAGCCTCATTTACCTAAGTCTAGTCGCCAGTTTTGTGGTACTACTTGCCCTATCAATTGCCATTATTTCGATTTTCAAAAAAACGATAAAATTTTGGCTTTTTTCCAAAAATTTGTGCTTGTGGTGGGTCTCCGAGGAGGATTTAGACAAAGACAAGTTATTTGACGCTTTTGTGAGTTACTCACATAAAGATGAAGGGTTCGTTGTGGGGACATTGGTACCAAAATTGGAATCTGAAGGGTACAAACTTCGTCTACATTTTCGGGATTGGGTACCAGGAGAGATGATCAGTACCCAGATCATCGAGTCCATTCAAGGATCAAAAAGGACGATTGTGGTTCTTTCAGGGAATTTCCTGAAAAGTGTTTGGGCCAAAGAGGAGTTCAAACAGGCCCATGCCGCGGGAATGGTCGAAGGAAGAGTGAAAATAATTATGATTTTGTTTGGGGAAATTGACATTGAGGGGCTTGATGAGGAACTCAGGTTGTATCTCAGGACAAATACTTATCTCAAATGGGGCGAAAGGCACTTCTGGGAGAAGCTGCAATATGCAATGCCCCACCGGAAGCCAAATTTGTAATTCTTAACTTTGTAAATTATTTATTGTAAATACGTAATTAAAAAATTAGAATTTTTGGTATTCTTTTTGGAATTATCGAAATTAATCTAAAAACAATAGATTAATAAAATTACTGCAATTGAATTTCAGTGAAATCTTTCTACAATTACTGATTTTTTTTTAGAATTAGTGGAATTCTTTCAGTGAATAATTAGGTTAAAATTAAGTTGTAATTACAAGAATTGAATTAATCTGAAAACAGTAGAATTACGATGAATTAATAAAATTACTAGAATTAAATTACCGGAATTACTTTTTAATTACAAAATTACGTTGAATATCTTGGAAGTATCGTAATTA